GTACCTCCTTTTTAATCTGGACTCTAGATCTGCTGCTTCCAGGGCTTATTCTTTGGGTGCTTTGTTGCTTCCTCCAGCCGCACATCTCTCCCTGGCTGCTCGGTCCATACAAAGGGGATCTGACGTGCTTCCTGATTTCTAATGTTAGCAGTTACTGTTCTCACCGCCCTTTTTGTTCTCACTGAAGCCCTGTTGAGGGATAGTACTGTTTTCCGAAGTGAAATCCTTGTCTCATACTTAACATCAGTGTCTGGGCTCTACTGCTTATGAACCACTGCCCCACCCTGTCTCCTGGAAATGACCAGCATCTGGAATCCCCAGTGCGACGCTCTGTGTCTCTCATAGAAAATCATATCTATCATCTGAAACAGCCGATTCTATGGGATGCTGCTTAGACTTCCAAGAGTGCATGCTGGAAGCTATTACTAAGTGGGGGTGGGGAGATAAAACTAGATGAATAGGCATTTGGTTAGAGAATTTTTATGAGGACAGAAGATTTTGTATCCTACAGAAGTGATTCCAACTTAGGGTTAAACTTGGTTGTAACTTGGTTAGTGTTAAAGGGATCTGGTCCATTTGGGCAGAGGTCAGGGTGTAATGGTCTGTGGCCTCAGGAACATGTCTGGGCCTCAGAACAATGATTCTTGCCTTAACTGATTTTGGAAATACCAAAAGTAGATTTAGCCTCAAGATAAAAGGATGAGACCAGGGATCCAGGACACAGCTAATTTAGGTATGACGCAGGGTGAATTATAGTCTCTGTTAGCTGTGATAGGAGCCAGGAATCTGTGACCATGAAGAACAGAGCAAGCACAAGGAAGTATGGTGCAACTGGTCAGGGTTTACTACCTACCACTGACGATTTTTACATTCTTGTTTGGTTTTACAAACTAGGACAAGAATAGTGTGTATGGGAGTCAGTGTGATTTAAAGGGCCATTAGAGAGTAGTCATACATAATATAGAAGACCTGGTATCTGCTTTGTGGGGGCAGGCTAGATTGGAAAGAAAGGACAATTTTACCACTGACATCCTGATTCTGCCTACTCAGCTGTATCTCCTGAGTTACTTGTTTTCTCATTTCTGTCCCACCACCTTGGGTGAATTTTGTGCCAAGCTGTGACTCTCTCCATGGTACTGCCTCTCATTCTACCTAGTTTGGAACATCCTGTTCATACTGGAGGACAGAGGTAGAAATTTAAAGTGAAACTGTAGTCAATAAAACTCTAATGGGTTATTAAGGTAATTAGGGCTATCAGAGGAAAGCCCCTACATTTTCCTGGCCTTGCCATCACAAGTGATAAAGTGTCCACTGCTGCTCCTGTTAGAGACAGAAAAGGGCCCTTGAGTGGGCCCTGGCAGTAATGCCAGGTGGGATTCCCTTGAATTCTATACAATGTCCATATTCACTATGCAAAAATCCAAGAAGCTGATGATCTTTAAAGTAATTTACTCTGTCCTTGTAGGAAACTGCCCTAACTGGGCCAGAGTGTCCTGGGTCTGATTTCATTACAGCCTTTGGACCTGCCTTCTAGAGCATCTCCCCTTCTCTCTGATAAACCATCTCCCTGCCTGTCCTTAGGACTCAGCTCAGGCTCACCACCTGGAGGCCTTCAATAGTTAGTGCTAAGTTATGGCTGGAAACATTATGCCTATTTGGTCAGGGCAGTCTAAAAAAATGTTGAATTTTAAGAAAACAAACAAATAAAAACCTTCGTTGATTAACGTGACCCATTTAAAAAAAAAGTAGTCTATCTAGTATTTTCATAGGAAAAAAAAACATATTGGATCCAGTGCAATTTTTATTCTTACTGTTGTATAACCCAATTAATGGTTGCATGTGAAATCTGCCACCATGTGCCCTGGGACTTTCTTTATATAGCACTTACAGTGTCAGCAGAAGTAGCAGTGCTTGTGTTGACCAATGCACCCAGTCCACTAGATTGTGTGTTTCTTAAAGGAAGGGATTCTGTCCTATATAGCTTTGAATGGTCAACACACAGGATAAGACCTGACCCAGAGCAGATACATCTGGGTATTTCCTCAATTGAAGTAAATTGTAAAATAGGTTCTCTAAGCTCTCTATGAGCTCCAGATATTTCACTCAGGAACTCTGGGGGCTCCATGAGTGGTTGGTCCTTACCTAGGCAGACGTGTGCATTACTTGGAAGAAAAAGGCCTTGAGTTCCCAAATCTTATGTCCTAATATCGAAGGTTAAGAAAAGCAATCCCTATTAGGGATACTTAGTCTGGGTTCCTTTGTTAAAGTGATACACTGATACACTCCTGGGAGTAATAAAATATTTCAACCTAGAGTCTTGCAATCACTCAAATTGCCTATGACTCCATAAACAAGAGTCGGAAAAGCATAGTACAAATATACAGCTGAAGTACTATTTCAGAATGTGAGCAGCTAAAATCTGGAAATGCCTCATGGATGAGACACATTCTAAGTTGTCATCTAAGAGAGGAGTTGCACTATACTGGCCCTTGAAGCTGCTGGGCTACAGTAGACCAGAATTACCTACTTTTAAAAAACTGATCTCCAGAAACATAACTCCCCACCACCACCAGCTGACCAGTGAGTGAGCTTCACTCCTTCTCCTTCAGAAATGCCACACATTGAGCTTCGCTTCTCGAGTGATACTTAATTCCACCTATGTGAAAGTGGCATTTCATAAAGAAGGGGTCCTCAACGCTGTGAGGTATCTTTTGGGACCTTCTAAACATTCTTGGCTCTTCTTACCTTATACCCAGGTGGTAAGCACCAGATCATACCCTATAAAAATAATATGCATAATTCACTTAAGTGAGGGAATAGGACCTCGGTGGAAACAATGGGGACTGTTTATTTTCTAGAGCTTGGAGGCCCTCCCCCACCCCCAGAGGGAGGTGGACCTGCAGTGTGTTATACCAGTCTATTATGAGAGCAGATAAATGAATACTATGTTCCATATTTTCCACAGCAATTACTTTTTTAACACATGTATAAATGCACGTTTTTAGCTATTTTAATCACTTCTTTATCCATGTTGTTTGAATAGTGAAGAATATATTCCACAAAGTAGATTGTGCGCAGGAAGCACTAATTATTGTGGCTACAGATACAAATCACAAACCACTACAACATTCCCAGTTTTCCCCTATTAATTTTCGGTGAAATGTTTCTAGACTAGTTCCAATGTAAATTATAGATGCTTTGCTTTTTCTAATCCTTTTGCAACTATGAATTTCTTAAGCTCCTCAAACATCAGAGCTAGGTCTCCCCCAATGAGAGACTCATCTTTCACAAAAGAGAAAAGGTTTTCAAAGCAGTTAACTTAAGTAGGAGACATTGCATATTAAATATACTATGCTCTGAACTCTTCGTGTTTTTCCCCTGGAGCCTTCATTGCTGTGATGACCATATTTCCATTTAGAAGGACAGAAATGGGGAAGAAATGAAGCCGTTTCCAAGTGCTGTGGCCTGTTCTGCCCTCTAGTCAAGCAGAACGGATCCTGGGAGACCTTGGGCGGCAGGGAGGGGATAGTCTGTCCTGTAATTACCCCAGGTCTAAGGTGGTAGCTGGCCCTTCCGCGTGCAAACACAAACAGCGGCGTCAGAAATAATCACCGGCGTCCGCCGCCGCCGAGCTCCGGCTGGTGGGGGTTGGGGGGCTCGGCGGAGAAGGCTGGAGGCCGGATGCTGCTGGCCTCGCGGAGCCTCTCGGTGCTGTCCATACTGATGAGCTCCTCGGCTGACACAGGAAAGCAGAGCTTAGGAGGAGCCGAGGAGGCAGAGGAGGCGCGGAGGAAGGCGACTGAGCCGCGCACCCGGCTTTGACGTCGCCCGGCTGCGGCTAGCAGCTCGCGCTCTCAGCACGTAGCGAACAACGTGACCACACACAGCCTTCCGTTCCGGCAGCCCGGCAGCCCGCTCTCGGCTTCGTCCTCGTCCTCCTCCTCCTCCTTTTCGCCTCCGCGACGCGCACCCCCGCGCACACCCAGGGATTCCGGCCCGCGTCGAACCCTGGGCGCTCCGCCGCCCAGCCCGGGCACCTCTGCCGCAGCAGGGGCCCAAGCGGCGACCACGCAGTTGGTGTCCTCCTCAGGCGGCCGCTCCCGCGTTCACCTCTGGATGCCAGCACTACGTTAGCCCAGGCGGGGAACCCCTTCGGCTGCTCCCTCCTCTAAACTCCCGTCTTGTCCCGACCGCCCCCACCCCTCCACCTGACGGGGGCAGCGCGGAAGCGAGGAGGACGCGCGCGGTGCCGGTGGGCACGCGTAGACGTGTGTGCGATCCGGTCTCTGCTTGGCATTCTCTCTCTCTGGCAAGTGGCGGTGCCTGGACTCTGCTTTCGGCTCCCGGAATTGGCGCGGCCGGCCTGAGCCCCCTCTTCGCTGGCGGGGCGCTAAAGGCTATTTTGGAGAACCGTAGCGGTGGAGGCGGCGGCGGCGGCGGCTGAGGCTGGTGCCCGAGAGAGCTTCAGACGCACACCCTGCGCCCTGTCGGTCCCTCTCCTCCTTCTTCCCCCTCCTCCCTTCCCTTCCTCCCACCCCCGTCCCCCTATACCCAGTTCTCCTCCTCCTCTTC